AAGAATTAGGACTAAAAATATGACAAGTTCTAATAAAAGTTTTAGAAATTTTAGCTAATATATTAATAAGGGTAGAATTGTATTTTTCACCCTTAAAATGGCTATATTTCATCTTTTTAAAAAAGATGGCTGTATTTCATTTTTTACTTCAAAAAAGTGCTAAAAACCGGCGGCTCTCTTTTAAATAAACTATTCTAGGAGGTTAAGTTCATTAATTGAGATCTTAAATGAATGGTAATTAGTTTTATCTTACACTAGTAAGCCATCATTTGAGAATTATTTATAAAAAATAACTTAAACTTTTATAGAAATATAATAACTAAAATAAAAATTATTTAATATATTTATAATTGATTGTTACATTATCTAAGCAAGTAGAATTATGACATCTTAGCTTAATTTTAAAAATTTAGAAAAAAAAAAATCAAATATAAATGTGAAGTTTGTAAATTATTAATGTCAATGGTTGTATGAATATAGTGAATATTTTAACTTTTTTATATAATTTGATCATTTTAAGAATACTTATTATAGGAAAGTCAAAAAAATTGGACAATATGAAATATCTGTCATCTTTATCTGATAAATTAACAATTTATATTCGTAAATGATCTAGCATCATACGATATAAGTTATATATAACCAAGTAAAATAAATGTCATATGCAATATCCATAACATGGCCCATATATACCTATCAATAAAAATGTCTACCAAAAAATGGCTTTATTAGATTAAGGCTTCACACAACATTTATATCTATATATATATATATAATTGCTTGTTCATGAGCATTTAATAAAACCTATTAAATTATACGTGTGGCAATATAAATTTTTCTCTTAAAAAATCGTTACTTTTTATTTATTTAACTTCTCATTTAATTATTAGATAATCAACACATTAATTACTTATAAATTAAAAAAAATTATTTTAAATTATTGTCACGTGATTAGATGTTATTATTGTGGTTACATATAAATATTAACTTCTTTTGGAAAATAAAAAATGTATTTGAAATTCTTAAATAAATAATTCACAAAAAAAGATGCATACCAAAATATACCTTGCATCCAATATAATAAACGCAATTTAAAAAAATAAATATATCAGCTCCTTTAATTGTAAATTTGGCAAAAATCATTAATCATTATACTCATACAAATAACTCACAATACTTTATTTATATATATATATATGTGCAAATGCACAAGTCTAATACTAGTTTTTTTTAATGACATTTTGATGGCATAAATTATATTGAAATTATATGATTATCTCTAGTTTGTCAATTGCGTTGATTTTTGTCGGGGCAATTATTTCTTCGGCATTGGAAACTAATTTCAAAATTTAAATTCTGTTTTTGACTTTCTCCTTGCACGTGGTAACGACATAGTAATATTTCTTTCTTAGGGCCTGAATTTTTTATATGACGACATCATATATTTGTTTTATTTATACAATTCGAGCTAGTACTGTTAAATTAAACGAGTTTGGCTCAACCAGATTCGTTAATGCTCGAGTTCGAGGCCTTAACGAGTCGAACTCAAGTTCATTTAAAGCTCGTTTGGCTAACCAGACGAGCTCGGCTCGGCTCGATAAGGCTCGTTAAGGCTCGAAATTAGATTTTTATATAATTTTTTATAGTTTGACTCGTTAAAGCTCGAGACCGGCTCGTTAAGGTTCGAGCTCGAGACCTTAACGAGTTTGAGCTTGAGCTTGAGCACACTAAACTCAGCTCGACTCGTTTACAGTTCTAATTCCAGCGTCCTTTTGGTAATATTTGTTGAAGTAGGGTGCCATAGGTCATTTTTAGATCCTCAATTTGTGCCCTTTTGGTAATATTTGTTGAAGTAGGGGGCCATAGGTCAATTTATAAATCCTTAATTTGTGCTCTAACGGATTTAAATCCAATTTATTGTTTAACCACTTTAAATTAAGTAAGCTTTTCGTTATGATTTTGCTTGTCCGAATCATTTATCTCAATTACTTGAATTCAACTAAAAGTTTAAATATAGAGCAATATCTATATGTATTCGAGTAATTAGTTGCATGATTCACTTAACCTTTTTGCCCGTTACATTAAGTTGTCTGCTGTACAACGGAAACTCACAATAAGCATAATAATAATTGATAAAAAAAAAATATTGACAAAATACACTTTTTCAACTATCGGGAAGCGAATAGCGTAGCGGATTTTTTGGCATCACTGGCAGCCAATGGGCCGAATGGATTGTTTAGGCTTGACGATCCTCCCCCGGGAGCGAGTGCATGGTTGAACCACGACCGTTTGGGTATCTCTACACCTAGATCGGTTATCATTTAGGCGTGTAGCCTCTTTCTTTGTACCAAAAAAAAAAAAAATAAGACGAATGGAATCACGATTTTGAGTCGTCGGGCCCCCGACTGGTGGTTTTACCAAGGAGGGCGGGTCTTTGGTGGTTGGAGATGGCGTAAGTTTAAAACACGATTATTGTAGTTTTGACAGGTCTGGGCGAATCAAGCCGACGATCTCAGATTCTGCGGTTTTAAAAATTTTAGCCAATTGCAAAATTTTGATTGTTACTCGATTACTAATACCGTCACACGTCACAATTCTTAAAGATATCGTAATTCAAATGAAAAAACAATATATATTTTTTGTGTAATACAGATATATGCATGCTAAAAGAATAGTATTTCAAATGTATTGTACAAAGAAAATAAATTTGTGTAAAATATGTGTTTATATTAGAAGCGGAGGAAGTGGGTGCGGTCCCACCAGGTGAAGCGCACCTTAGTGAGGTTCTGTTCTAAAACTAATTGGTGATGAGAGGAGTAGCTTATAAATTAGACTTCTTACAAGTGATATTCCAACATTTTATGTATGATATATGCACGCCAAGATAAATAATGTGAACTAATCATTCTTTCACATCACATTAACTTT